TGAAAACGGCACCATCAGCACTACCTATTACCAAAATCAGTATCAAGAAAAAGAAGAAAAAAAAGAGTAGGGGGTTCTGAGTTGCCATCCCATCTGTCTTCTTACGAAAAGAAAAAGTAGAAAACCACACATTCTCCTACTGACAGAAGTGAAAACGGCACCATCAGCACTACCTATGACAAAAATCCGTATCATCAGCACCACCCCAGCTTCGCCCCAATCAACATCATTCACCACGTGGAGATGCGGTAATTTTTTTTTTTTTACGCGTTTGTTTACGCCGCGGAGCAGCCACTGCTCCGCGGCGTAGCGGAATGGGACGGCCGAAGCATACGCGCGACGCAGCGTATGCTTCGGCCGTCCCATTCTTGCGCGCAAAGGCGGAGACCGCCGAGGGAATGGTCGACGAACGGCGACAAAGCGCAGGGGACGAGGGGAGTGATCGCAAGACCTTCAGCGTAATCGCGATTGGTCGAACGTACTGCGCCTCAACCGCGGTTCTAAGAAACTAAATTAAGAGGGGATTACCGCTGTACTCACCCCTACCCGGCGCCCATGCCAACTGTGATAAACGCGAGCATCATCCGAACCTTTTCGGCCACGTACACGCCACTGACCCGATGCCACAAGCCCAGTACTGCTGCTGCTGTAAAAATACAATATCCTGATCTTCGGCACAACAAACTCTTTTAGAGCTCGAACTGGTAACGCTTTATTTGTGGTGCACGAGTACTGAAAGGGATAGTTGGCATTCATATTAAAGGAATAATCGTGTGCACAAAATAATACAAACCGTAAAAAGGTAACAATACTTCATACCATCGCTGAGTCTTTGAAATGCGATTTCTTGTACTGTAGTGGGTCAGTTCAAGCCCATCGTATAAGTGACAAATCTAAAAAGCGCAAAGGACAAGTATGCCCCAAAACAGGCATGGTTCATGCCTGTTTAGGACTATTCTTATTGTTGCACTTTTCTTTATTTTTGTTAGGTATTCACGGGCTCAGATAGATCCATCAGATTACGATAAATCACATTTCAAAACCGTACAAAGTGTCTGCTTTCTTCAGAGCGTAACGTTGATGCAAGCATTGGAGAACTGCCGCTGAGGCTGATTTCCATGGCCCATAACGGCTTGCCTGCCATTGATAAGTACAGACAGCTGCGTCGACGCAGCCAATCTAAGCTTTTGGGAAAATGCTAAAAAGGTAATATTTGGTCTGATGATAGTCGTTAACATAAAATATACAGGCAAGTTAATTTTGTGTAAAAAAAACCAGAAACGTCTTGCATTTTTTTTTTTTTTAATATTTGATCGTCAGTGGAGGGTGCAGATGCGATGGCGTGTACAGTTAGGGCACGTATTTTTGTTTTTTTTTCTTTTTCGCTTGACATAAAAGGCAAGCGGTTGAATTCTTGCAAAACAAGTATTTTTAGGGTTTGAACGGGTAACGCTTTATATGTGGTGGCCGAGTACAGAAAAGGATGGTTAGGACTCAAATCACAGTAACAATCGTATGCAGAAACGGCGTGTTAGGGAATTATAAGCAAGGTGCCTATATATCATTACCGTAACCGTAGGCCGCTCGTATTTACTATCATACATTTGCCGTCATTCACGTGACTGAAAATTTAAGAACTGCATTCGGCCGCGACGAGATACCATGAGCATGGAACAAACAAACGGCACGTCAGTTTCAAAAATAAATAAAAAAACATATTTTAAGCATCTACGACTCGTTCACGATTAAAGGTGGAACTAATATTCTTCAAATCGCACCTGCCACAGTTTGCAGTCTTCCCACGAAGGCAAACAACCGTGTCCCACAGGTTAATGAGATGTCGGTAGTGCGGAGAATCTCAATTTCAGTATTGACGGTAAAGCTATGCCCCGGCTTCTCTTATCGCTCCCAAGACCTCCGCAGGATAAAGACGATACTAGTCTCTGAAGTGTTGCAACACGAATACGGGCGGTATACATTCCTGTCTTCGACCACGCGTGTTTATGACAAGTTCCTTCATTTCCTCATAGCTGCCCATAAAAGGACTACTCTAACGGGTCTCTAGCACAGTCTTCACTTGAACGAGTATCTGAAAGCACCTCTGTCCGCAGACACCATGAACACCTTCGGGAGTAAACTCAGTCCGCGCTGCGATTCCGCGATAATCAACCAATCGCTAACAGTATCAACCTTTAGTGCATAAACAAAAGATTCACGAGCGTCACTCACAATCTCTTTGATAGATTTTTGTTTTTAATGTTTCACGATGTTTCCTGGATTCTTGCAGTTATTTGAAGCAGATATGGACAATATTTTTTGTGATGCGGTTGCATTTCAATCATGTTTGTTTGAGTCATTAATCGGAGTCGTGTCTATTAAATTTCACCACACGTAATCCCCCATTAGTAGCAGTACCGGTTTTAATTTAAAATTAGCGCATCTCTTTCGAGCGTCCTAAACTCACCTCGGGCGTTCTCTAACACCATTTCCAAAGCGAAGATATTTCAAAATAGATGAAATACATGCACCTTATCATTGAGTTGTAACAACACTTCTATAAGTAGGTGGTATTCAACGTGCCCATAACTGAGTCCCTTTTTTCTGCAGGCGCGTTGAACGCCGCCTTCTACAACACTTCGGCAGCATTACTCCGCATTATCAAGATATTGAGAATATGGGCTGCGAACAGCGCTTTATCATCATCATCATCATTTCTTAAACCTTGAAGGCCATTGCTGGCATTACACAAGGTGGGAGTAACTGCTGAAGAAGCATTATATAAAGGAAGAAACAAAAAAGGGGGTTACATGCTCTAAAACATTGTTATCTAAAGCAGCAAAAACAGGAAAAAAAATCACTTAAAATATTTCTAGGGAAAAGCAGCTGATGAAACAGAAAAACACCCAAATAAAACATTTCTATAAACTCGAGCTGACTTTGCTATTAGTGCAAATGCAGATAAATGTTCAGTTGGGATATGAATGTATTATAATCTGTCTGGGGTCACGATACTGTTAGGCAGGCTATTCCAGTCCGTTATTGTGAATGGCAAGGTGGAGTTAAGAAACGAAACTGACGAGGCTAAAATTGGACGAACTTTAGAGACGTTATCAATGCGAGGAAATATGCGAGTGGCTGGGGATAATGGTGAAGTTCTGATGTCATGGTTATGATAGTAAATCTTGTGAAAAAGAGACAGGCGTGATAATTTCCTTCTGGTTGAGAGGAGATCAAGGTTAGCTTTCATTCGTAAAGAAGTGATGCTGGTGTCTCGTGAGTAATCTGAAAAAATGATTCTGATTGCGCTATTTCGAAGTGCCTCTATGTTTGTTAGCAATGAATGTTGCGAAGGGGACCAGATGGATAACGCGTATGCAAGTTGCGATATTACGAGTGCAGTGTAGGCTAGTTGTTTAACTGATGATGGTGCTAGTTTCAGATTTCGTCGAAGATAGCCAAGAGAGCAGTTAGCATTAGACAGGACGTGTGTTATATACGTGTTCCATGAGAGATCGTCATATAAGTGAACACCCAGATATTTGTAAGAAGGACACTTGGTAATTACCTGGCTGCACATGGTGTAAGTGAAAAAGGGAGGACTATGAGCACGCGTGAAGGAAACGAGATTTGTTTTAGAAAAGTTAATTGTCATTTTCCACTGTTTGCACCAGTCGGCTATTAGCTTAAGGTCAGCTTGTAGGCTTATGTTATCGTTCAGTTTAGATACAGATCGGTAAGTTACGCAATCATCAGCAAAAAGTCGAATACATACATTTACGAATGTTAAAAAAAGCAGAGGTCCGAGAACACTGCCCTGGGGGACTCCGGATGATACAGGAGAATAAGCTGACGACTGGTTGTTAATCACAGTATGCTGAGTACGATTGGTTAAAAATTGTCCGATTCATGATGTTATGAGTGGATGAATGTGAAGTTGTTTTATGTTGAGCATGAGTAAATTGTGGGATACCTTATCGAATGCTTTAGAAAAATCAATGAATATGGCGTCTGTCTGTATGTTACTATCGATGTTACTGTGTATTTCATGGACAAGTTGTACAATTTGCGTTTCGCAAGATTATGATTGTCTGAACCCGTGTTGGTTTGGAAAGAGGATGAGGTTATTTTCGAAATGCTTCATGACATTTGAATATATTATATGCTCAAGTAGATTGCAGGGGACACTGGTTAGAGATATAGGACGATAATTTGATGGTGAAGTTCGATCCCCCGATTTCTGTAAGGGGATTACTCTGCCAATTTTCCAATCTGTAGGAAGCTCGCCGGAAGACAGAGATTGTTGGAAGATAATTAACAAAAAAGGAGCTTAGTGTAATTGAGTGTTTTCCAGTAATTTGGAATTAATTTTGTCGTCCCCAGAACTCGACGGCAACTGTAACCTTCCTATAGAGCTTATGATACCTGCATACGTTATTTCAATGGCAGCCATGGGAGTGTGATATGCGTTGTTAAGATGAGGCATGTTACTGTGGTCATCTGTGGTGAAAACTGAGGAGAAATAGCCGTTAAGACAGTTGGCGCTTTCTTCATCCGATAAGGGCAACCGATCATAGCTCATTAGTTGTACCGGTCTAGACGTTTTTGGATTAATTACCTCCCAGAACTTTTTAGGTTTATTGCGAAGAATGTTTACTAAGTCATTTTTAAAGAATTTTGCCTTCGCCTCTGTAATAGATTTCTTATAAATTTTAGGAATATCATTGTACTGTTTTCAAGCGAGATCGGTAGTCAGTTGTTTGGCACGGCTAAATAGTCTTTTTTTTCTGTTTAGTTGGTTAAGCGTTTTTGTGAACCAGGGATTTGATTTGTCACAAGTTATGTTTATTGATGGGATGTAAGTGTTGGCAAGGTGTGCAAGTTTATTTCTGAAGAGAATCCAGTTTTCATCGACTGTCCTGCTCATACAGATATGCTGAAAATATTGCTTTAAAGTTTTTGTCACTGTCTGATTTTGGACCCGTTTTATTGCTTCCTTATAGGCATCTCTCGTGCCCTGCTTCGTCCTGCTTGCCGCCTCCTGCCGGGCGGGCTACTTGGCGCCACATGTTTACCACGCTGCCACCGTCCACGTCCCCGTAGCCACTACGGTGGTTCGTCAGCCCGTGGTAGAGCACCACAGCGAGGTGGCCTACGTGCCACCCCACGCCCATGGGTACACCATCAGCCAGCAGAAGCTCGTCCACCCCAAGACCACCGTCACCAAACACGACCCTTTCTTCGGGTTAGTTCTCTTCACTTCCTTAGGGAAAAAAGACTGTTTCGAAAGCAGAGCAAATATGATAATTACATGTACGGCTTTTTAAACTTGAACTTTAGGGCTCATTTTTGGTTTATATATCATACATTTTTTTGTTGATAAATTTGCATTCTCGGTGGCATACATATATATATTGCATATCAATATGTTTTCATAATGTCGGAAAGTTAAGGGGCAGCCCCGTGCTCGCTTACAAAAAAAAAATAAACATGTTACGTTGGTCTGAACCTACATCGTGTGAAATATTATGTTCTAACTTTTGAACACGGGCACAACCACGGAGATAAAGTAGTTTGTTAAAAAATGCTCCGTAATTTTGAATGGTTCGTTTCACAGTATAGGTGTTTCACGATATGAAAGAAATACGTCTTTGGCAGCATCGGTCATAACCTAGAAAGGCTGTCTTCATTGAGCATTGATTTCTCTTTGGTACTAATATATTGATATATTTTCCCACCCGCAGCACCTACCACCAGGCCGAGGTGCACCACGCTCCAGTGGTGACCGGTTCTCACAGTTCTGTGCACCAAAGCCGAGGTGGACACTTCGTGCACCGCCCAGTCGGCACCATCGTCTACTAGGCCGTCCTCAGCACCGGAATCTCATTTTGCTTAGCCGAATAACAGAAATTGAGAGCTGAATAAATGCGTACCACTCCTGCTGGGCGCGAGTGACGTTCCACAATGATATATGCCCAATCACGTTTTACACCGACAGCTGCCGCGCGCTTTTCACACCACTGGAAATGACGTCCGCTTTTTAGGTTGGGGTTGGAGTAAGTAGTATAAGCAGTAGTAGTTTTTGTTGTAGTTGAAGTTGTAGTTGTTGATGTTGTAGTGGGGCACTGTTGTAGTTGACGATGCAAGGCGTCCGTCGTCTATGTTGCCAAATCCTTAAAAAAGATCGCCCTCCACCACGGAACTTGAGTCTCTGACCGCTGCAAAGCGGAAGCATTACCACTGAGTTATGCTACAGTACTAACAACTCGCTTTAAACTTTGGGGTTTTGTCTACCGATGCCCATTGCACGCGCTCTCTGGGAGAAAAACAAATGATAAGAAGATGCCGTTGAAGCACTGTCAATTCCAAAAGCTCGTTCCGGAAAACACATTTTCCCGCGCTCCGGAAAAAAGAACAACAACAAATAATCAGTCCAGTGTACAGTACAGTCACGGAAATAGCTGCGACCAGCTGCGAGATGTCACGGTCCAGTCCTTGGGCCTCGACGTCGCGCACACACCTTGAGGTGAGTGAACAAAAGCGTTCGGAACAAAATAGACACGCGACCTGTAGCGGATGACAGAGAAAATGCGAAAATGCACTTAACGTGAACATTTGGTTGAACCTCTAACCCATCTCGCGTGCCCAGGCCGGCGTTTGGCACGCACCGGCCGGCGATTGGCACGCGCTGGCCGCCGTTCGGCACGCGCTCTCTGCTCGTGCCGATCAACGCCGCCACGTAGCTTCTCCCTCGAGAGGCAGAGTCGCGCCTCTCTGCTCTGTTCCGAGCGCTTTACTTTGTTCATCCATAGGCTCATCTCTACTAACAAAGCGTGTCAGATCGCCACTAGGAGCTGCCGCCGAAATGGAAAAGGTAGAGTGGCGGACATCGGATGAGAAAAGAGCCACGTGACGGGCGCCCCGCTGCGGCGAGATGCCGAAAAACACTTCTCCCGAGCGATGGAATGGCCGCTCGAGATCCTCATATTCCTCGCGCTACCGCCTCTTTTCTCGTCGGGTTTGAAAACCATGTTTTGGGTCCTTGCCGCTGAAAAAAGCTGTATGTTGACGCCCAGGTTTCCCTAAAGCCCTCTGTCCTGGGGAAAGGAAAGCCATTCCGTCTTGTGGAAATGCTCCAGACACATGCCGCGCGCCACTTCAGGGAAGAACATGGTGTCTATAATCTAGCTCAGTCCTGCGTGGTGCAGCCAAGATCTTCCGAAGGGTTGCACGTTGCACGTGCCTCGTGTATCGACGCACCTTGCGATACTTGTGAAACAGAAAGGGGCTTTAGGTTCCACGAGAAATGCTATGTGCTAGCTACCAGATGCTCGCGTTTCAAATCTACGGCCGGGCACTCTATGGCTCCGCCGTTGAATTGCCAGGCTTTGTGAGTATAGAGAAGGATATTGTTGATTGTACCGGACCGCGATGAAGCGCGTCATCTGGCAGGAGCTCGTGGCCTTGACTGTACTACGACGTCATCTTGTTATTGGCTAATTTTATTTGTTGAGAGCACGTGCAGTTTGCATCGGGTACGCAAAGCCCGCACCATTCCTCATTTTGGAAACGCTCAAGGTCGATTCACACTTGCGTTGAGTCCAACCGAAAAGCGAAGGTTCCTATGACAATATCTGCGTCGGCTGGAACAAAACCGGGCCCGGTTTTGTTGGAGCCGACGCACTTGTCGCAATAGTAAGCCTCGCACAGGGTCGGACTAAGGCAAGTGTGTGAATCGCCCTTCAGCGTTTCCCAAAGGTGGAAGTTTGCGGTGTTTTCTAAGGGTGATGCTAACGTATTCCCTAAGGATCCACCAATGGAGCTTCCACCAATTTTTTTTGCTGCTACTTTCGCTCACAGACCCGCGTCGCCTTGCCTCTACTTGAGCCACATTTCGGCCATGCGAGCTACGCACTACTTCGGCTCCTCTGTCTTGGTCGCCCACCTTGCACGCTTAGCACCGGCATCCAGTGCCTGACGATGCTTTCGCTGTTCACCGATTTCCCGCTCGCGCATTGGGTTCCGCCCCGTGACGTCACCTCCCTCTCGCCTTTGTACTTCAGTGCTCTCCTCCCGTCTACCGGGCGCACTTCCCTTTCCACTGATTTGCTCGTCGATTTGCCCGCAGATGGAAGGCATCATGTTTTCCCAGTCATGTGGGTAAGAATGCTACCGCATTAAAATTTATCGCTTTTTTTTTACCGCAAAATATACTGCCCATCGCCGAACCCTCAATTTCCGTCCAAATGTAATCCTATCGGTCGGAACGGGATGTCAAAGTTTCAGCACTAAGCATTAGTTTGTTCAAAGCTTACACATGATTTTCTGAAATTTTTATTGGGAAAATGATAGCCGACGAAGATCTCGCATACATGAAGCTCTATGGCACCTTTTGCAAAAAACGGACAAAAATGGGCCCGTTTTTCCATTGAAATTATAAGAAAACCACGTTTAACTTTTAATCTAGATAACGGTTCGTTCTGAAACGTTGGAATATGGTTTGGTCTGCTAGCGCCGCATATTTGGGTGGAGAATGAGCGGTCAGCAATGCATAATCTATTCTTAATTAAAAACACACTACATATATTGAGGACACGCTCTACTTTTGTACACAATCCTCCAATGTGCCCTTTCACACCCCTGTATAGTTTATTTTAACAGATATACATTGACCCCATGGTTATGGGTGGTGCGTCAGTCATTTTCGAAAATGGCGGTGAATATTGGATAGATGTACTGCCCACGGTAGTTTTTTTTTTTTTGGAGAACGCCTCAAATTAAGAAGTACCACCGACATCTGAAATTGACGTCGCTTGTACTGGTTCGCACCCAGTGCGGTTCAGTGTACTAAGAGAGAGCACGATGTTATCCCTGTAGCTTCTGCGAACGATTCCTCTCGTGAGGAGTGTCGTCTTCTAACGTTTGTAACCCCTGCTTGCGCTGCCTGAGCAAGAAGTAGAGTTTGAATTGCCGCGGGAAGTCTTCCCGCAGAACAAACGCAGCGATCCGTCGTCTGCTTCCGTTTCTGGTGGCATTTTTTTTTAAAGTTGACAAAACATTATTGTGTGATACAAACATAACATGGGCAAATTTGGGGAATGTACTTTGAAGACGGGAGTTGCACATTCCTTGTAAAATAACAGAAAAATATAATTCAAATAAAGTACAAGTACAAAATATACTTCAAGTGAAGTAAAAGTTGTCTAAACCTACTTGAAATAGTAATTTGAAAAGAATGCACTTAAAGTGCTTCCAAAAACACCATATCTTTGATGAATCTTAATCTCTCTTTAAGAGTTTATTGTACTACCCAGTATATTAGAATGACTGAGCCTTACATTGCGTATTCGATCAGATCTTAAGAAACAGAATATAACAATACGCACTTGTGTACTAGGTTTTGTTCGTATAAACAGTGTGCCTTGACCAACGTAATCTTAAGGATGCTGCAAAGTATTCTTGGACGTTTGATCATAGAGAGTTACGCGTGGAACTTGCTCCTTCCCTAAAGCTTAGTTAATTTCATAATCGTCATCACGGTAGTGGGCCACAGCGTTAGGTACAGGCACGGAAGCATGTGAAGGCGGGCTTCTGCGTGCCGTACTTTCCGAGTGTAACACTATGTCGTGGCCCTTTTGAGGTTATCATCTGCCTGCATTTGTAATAATGGCCACGAGCTCGATTAAGATGTACGTTAGCGAGGGCGGCTCTTCGAAGACGGGCCGAAATATCATGGATGAAATGGGTCATACGGGCTGGCACGAAGTGCCGGTAAACTCAACTTGCATCTCGATGACGTATTAAAGCGAGGGTAAATCGGAATGCGCAAGAACCTAATGCATGATACAAGTACAGCCATCCGTTAGCACCCTGGAATTAATAACACGACTAGTGCTGTAAAATCTAAAATACTATTTAAATCATTATACATATTCAGGATTGTTATCTCTGATGTATTCAACAGTAGCGGTAAATGTCCGAAAAGAAATTGAACCCTGAAGATGTTATGTTCGACCTTTGCTAATTGCGTTTCGATTTAAAACGCGTGAACGTGCCGATATTTAGACGTTTACAATTCTCTGTAATGCCGACTAAGAGGGCAGCTCTTCAGGAAGAGGTGGGGAGGGTACGGAGGGGAGGGGTCGCGTGTGACATCAGACGTGACGTCACGTGTGGCGTCACGAGGGTAATGTGTTCCTGCTAAACTTTGTGGGAAACTATTCCGCTAAATTTAGCCTAAAAGTTCTCTCGGGTTGAGTGGTGTCACGCGTGATGCCACGAGGGTAACATTTTCTCGCTAATTATAGCGGGGAAATTTTCCCGCTAAATTTAACGGAAACTTTTTCAGCCAAATTTAGTGAAACATTTTTGTCTCGTGACGTCATGCATGACGTCAAATGTGAAGTAATTATGGAAAACATCAAATAATTCAACGGCATCGGCGACGGCAACTGCGAAGCCGCTCAAGGCGGAAACGGGCGTCCTAAGAGCTGCGCTCTAAAATAATATGTCTCGCATTTCCTCAGCACCAATAAATGAAATATTTCATAAATTTCTTTTTTTTTCTTTTTTTTTTAATACTACAAGTCTTGTCAGGGACCGGGAGAGGAGAGGTCATATTAACTTGTAAAGCGCAGCTTTCAGGTGTCCTTTTTTGGTTTGAGCGGCGTCGCCGTCGGCGTTCCCGTCGGCGTTCACGCGTAGGCGTTTCCATCGGCGTTCCCCGTTGGCTTCGCCGTCGGCGTCGGCGTAGCCGCAAGGGTCGCATTATAAAACGTCGCAGTTTCCCTGCTAAATTTATCGGGGAAAATGAATTGGTGTTGAGGTCACGTGACGTCAATTTCGTCACCGAATTTAGCGGGTCAAGTTTCCCCACTAAATATAGCGGTAAACGATCTGGCTGGAAAACTTAATCCGATAAATTTAGCTGAAAAATTTCCCCGCTACACTTAGCGGAAAA